AGGGGGGGGGGGAGGGGGAATGGGCATCCGAGGATGGAGAGAAGAAGTAGAGGCAACCGCGGGGGAAGAAAGAGGGAGAGAGAAGGGAGAGAGGAGAAAGAGAGAGAGAGAGAGGGAGGAAGAGAAGCACAGGGAATTGGTTCTGGCTGGCGACAATGATAAAGCGGTGAGCCAGCCAGCTCGGCCTGCCGGACCCAGCTCACCTATCCTGCTCATGCCCGGCCGGGTCCATAGCCCTCCCGACGACGGGCAGACAGGCAGTGAGAGCCTGCTACTACTCACCCACAAACCAGGGGTTGCGGCGGTTGGTCTCGACCGTCAGGTTGAGGAAGTAGTCCTCGAAGCCCTTGACCGGGTGCGCCTGCGGCTGCACGGACAGCGTGCCCTCCACCTCGCGCTCGTTGCCGTCCGAGACGAGCGCGCGCGCCGACCAGCCGTCCGAGCCGATCCACGAGAAGGTGTCCGAGGCGCCGGCGCGCCGCACGGCCCGCATCACGCCCGCCACCTCCTGGTCCGAGCCGAAGATGATGGCGCCTGCGGCAGATGCACAACACACGATCAGAGGTCACAGGTCGGAGGTCACGAACTGTGTCGGGTCAAGTCTGCTGTAAACTGTTACAGGAAATTTTTTCATGGAAGCTGTCAGATGTCATACATTTACAATTCAAAACTGTAAATGTACAATCACGGTGTGTATCTACTTGCAATCCATTGACGAGCAAAATTGTGATATTGCACAAAGTATAACAAATTTTGTAATAAGTAAATTACAAAATACAATTACAAATTTTGTGCATCGACGAGCACATTTTTAAGGAACAGTAATGTTCCCTGGAATAATATATAATTTCCTTCCGCATGCAAGCACAGGTCCTAAATCAACGGAATCCATTGCCCACTCTGGAACTGGGGGAACACTGCGGCGGTGGTGCCACCACCCGCAGCCCCGCCCGGCAGCTGCAGCTCCGGCATTTGCTTCATCAGCGAGGAGGTCGTCCGGTTCGGTTCGATTTGGACTTCCTCCTCGGCATTCCGTCGAACCATTCATCTAGTTCAAAGGCGGTGCCCTCGCCCTGCTCCCGGGGCCGGCCCGGAGCCGGCCGGAGCTTCCGTCCCGCCCCACAATCCCCCCACGCGCGCGCGCGGACAGCAGCGGGGGATCCTTCCGGGCGCCGGAAACGCGCCAGCGCCACGTGGGACCCGTGAGCGGGGGCGGCCGCGGCCCGGTAGCGCTGCACCTGCCCGTCAGAGAGCTGCAAATCGCACCCCGCCCCCTTCCACCTCCTCATTTAGCCTTGTCGTCCTGACCGCCAATCCA